GTGATTGTCTGAACACATAAGTTGGCCCCAAAGCAGGCACAATACTTGGAACTGTAATGAATTTTGTTATGTAGTTGATAAGATTTCTTGCACCCTAAATAGTGTGTATATCCGATTGGGCTATAATGATTCATAGATCTGTTCCATTACTGAAGGGAGGCAGGTAGCCTAATTAAGAAGATAACACTAATTCTGTTATTTTTTAGGGTTGGCAGCTGATATGGCCCTTGTATAGATACCATCTAGAGAAATAGTTGATGCCTGCTGTATTGTTTTTGCCCTTCGCTATTGAGAGTGGGCATTTTTTTCCATCTTTAGTCTGAAAAGATTTATCCTGAAAACTATTATCAGTATTCCAGAGTGGAAATTCTCTCCTTTTTAATCGCGGCGAAAAATTATATCACTTGCTGTAGTCAGTACTAGTAAAAACAGTTACGTGACACGTATGTGTGAGGAAAATATTATTAATTTAAAAATTATCAGTGTGGAATTAAGTAAGATTTGATCTTTTTAAGACAGATGTAACCAGATAATTAAGTATGTTTGAAAGTTCATGAGGAAACATCTGCTTGTTAGCCATTAGGAAACAACATTTTAATATAATTCCTTATTTTCTGTGATGGTAGGAGACTGACACAGACATGAGCTGTGCAAGCAGTTCTTATGGAGGCTTTCGCTCACCACGCACCACACTGTCATTGTATTTCATTGCTGACAGGCGAAAATATTTAACTATCTGGTGAGTTTGTCTTGTCAAATAACCAAAGTATGGAGTGAATTGAGACCACCAAACAGTTAAATTGCCTTTCTGGCAAAACAGCAGAAAATGTCCTAGTGACAAGACAAGATTTCAGTAAATATGCTTTCTGTATCCTTGTTTGTTTCTCATTGCATTTTAAGGCAAAGTTTATCTATGTTAAAGTCAGAGGGCCACCAGGGCCATCCTGTCCCCCCCTGCCCCAGCTTTAAAATTTTACATGGATTTACTGTATGGCAGCACAATATGCTACTGTCATTCCAAGTATTGCAATAATTTTTTCTTCTTAATTGGCAACTTAAAGTTTTTCATCTATCGGGTGTGCAATTATTGTGTTGATTTTCGAATAGAGGGCCAAGTCATTCTATCTTAATATTCTGATTAGTATTGAATAGGTTGTTTTTCACATTTTACTTAGACCAGCATAGTTTAAGAATAGCACCTCAAAAATGTTATATTTGGCCCTGCTGATTACTTTTGAGAAACCTGATTTTCTAGTTTTGCCCTGTATGCCATCAGATAATTTGTTCTGTATTTTCTTGAGCAGAGGTGAAGCATACTTTAATATCTATAGAAGTGAGGATCCAGTGTCTGTTTCATTGTCAGTTTTCTAAACGTGTGAGTTTTAGCCATTCCTGAAATGTACTTAAAGTATATAAATAAGTAGTTTTAGACAATACCTGTATTAGTGTAAAATAGTTTAATATAAAAAAAAAACCAACCAAAATACCTTTGAAATGTATTGATTCAATTTTTAAGGGGAAAATGTAAGATCATCAGGTTTTACTGTCTCTGTCTGGTCCATGGTAGCAGACCTTGGCAGAGCCCTGGTGATTTCAGTAAGACTCTGCTTTATCCTAAGAGTTCAGCCATGCAGATCAAATCACCAAATGGAGCTTCATTTCCCCCTGAAAAAAATCTATTGCAGCGTGCAAGTCCTGTAACAAAGAAAAAGTGATTTTGCCTCTACAAGGGAGAGCAGATGCTAATCTTGACTGAATTTATGCCCAGAGAGAATGCGGACAACTCTTGCCTTTTCCCTATTGTCCTCTCTTTATTTTGAATTTGAAAGGTTCTCAAGTAAAATTGTGACTTCAGTGGAATTGTGGAATTCTACAGGTCAGCTGTCCTGCTGGTATTGGCTGTAGGAGCTGCATCCCTAAAGTCGTATAACGGACTGTTACTTGATCTTCACGCTTCGATATGGTAACTGTTAGGCCTCATCCAGGCAAGCACTTAAATGTCTGTGTAACTTTATGCACGTGAATAGTTTTGCTGGTTCCGGTGGGAATACCGACATGCGTCTGTGCTGAAGTGCTTTGCTGGATCAGGTCCTACACCTCTGCTGGAAGCCTCTTAGGGATATGACAGCATTGTCAACCTAGCTATTGTGACAAGAAGAGTCTATATTTTACTTCTTAATTGAAGGTTCCCGTGAGAAGGTTATGCTTGGAAAATTCCTGTATCAACCTATCCACGTTGTCTATTTTTAAAAGATGGAACGAGAGGAGATGTGGACAGTGAGAGATACTTGCTCTCAGCTTATCTAAAGCGTATCTTTTGAAAAGTGTTTTGCCATTAGGTGAGACTGAAATAAAATTCTCTAATATGTTGTATAGCTATTAAACAAGTTGAATTTAACTGAATTGCTGAAAGACAAGTATAGTACCTATACATAGGCATAAAAGCCTTCAGAAGAAATATATAGTTTGAAATGTTTCTTGGTTTGGATCAATACTTTCATTGGTGTTTTGTTCCACTTTTTTTGTTAGGTGACTGGTGACATATACCACTAGTGTTTCAAAGAAATTAATACAAATGATTGTTATATGTAAACATTTCTGTAGTAAGCTATACTTGTGTGAGCAATAATCGGTGTACTTACACTGATTAACCTTTTTACCTTTTTTTTTTTTTTTTTGATAAGGAGTATGTGATGGCCTTTGAATTCAGAATTTCTCTATCAGAGTGGCAGGCGTATCAGATGTCACCAGCACAGTGCTGTCTGAACCTAGCTAGCAATTGTCAGCATGTGTTAAAATGGATAATAAAGGATATGAAAAGTCTTGCATGACTGAGCAGTGAACTTCATGTTAACCGTGCATTTAGCAGTGCAGAACTTTAAAAGCAAAATCTCTGATGCTGTATTTAATCCATGAACTTTGCATCTGTGGTTTGAGAAGCCCGCATAGCTAACAAATGTTAGATCTATCTACTGGTTTGTCTTCAAGTATCAGTGTTTAGTGAAGTCCTTATTCATAATGCCCCTTTTTTACACCCTGCAGTAGTGGTTGTTGTTTAAATTAGGGCTGCAAAGACGATTAATAGACTGGAACACCTTTCAGACATGGAGAAACCAAGAGAACTGTGACTCTTCAGTCTGGAGAAGAGGAGGGAGGGATCTTATGAATGTGTATAAATACCTGATGGGAGGGAATGAAGAAGAGAGATCCAGACTCTTCTCATTAGTGCCCACTATCAGTGTAAGAGGAAACTGGCACAAATTGAAACACCAGAAACTGTCTGAATACAGGAAAACACATCTACTGTCAGGGTGGTCAAACTCTGGAATGGATTGCCCAGATAGGTTGTGGAGTCTCCATCCGTGGAGATATTCAAAACCCAGCTGGACATGATCCTGGGCAACCTGCTGTAGCTTCAGCAGAGGAGTTGGAAGAGATTGTGTCTGTCCTCAAGAGGTCTGTCCAAGCTAAACAATTCTGGGATTCTGTAAAGGTGCTTATATTTTTTTGTGTGTATATATATATCTTACATGTATATGATAATCATGCCTGTGATTTTGTATATATCTGTGTATAAAAATCAGCTGTTGTCCACTGTAGATGGTTCCAGTTTTCCTATTTAAACATTATGTATGTATTGCTGACCAAACCACCATGCATATACACGTTTACTCCTGACTCCTGTCTATTTCTCCTCTGACTGTCTCTTGTTTTTCTTAAAAATGTAAATGTAAACTGTAAAATAAATTTTAGGAAATGTCTCTTGGAATTACTAATGCCAGCTGTGGGGGTGCTTCTGGAGACAGGTTATAAAGGATCACAGCTTTGAGAGAAATGGGGTGGGACAGAACATTCTTGCACAACTACACACAGTAGGAAAAGCAGCTTTAGCAACAAGGCTTGGCCTTTGGGTTTTTTTGTTGTTTTGGGTTGGAGGGGCGGGGAGGTATGTGGTTGGTTTTGCTTTGTTGGGATTTTGGGGTTTTGTTTGGGGGGTTTTTTGGAAAGACCTTTCATCTCTTTTTGGAAAGACCTTTGCAGGACTTCCAGACACTCCTGTTCTTCAGCAGTGTTTATTTGACTAGGTAGAATGCATGTTCTAAGAGCTGCTAAACCAGCCAACCTGTCTTTATTTTAGTCAGGAGAATAAAAGTTAATAAATGTAATATTGGTAGAGCGGAACCCTTCTAGCTCAGTATATATGGGAGGGAGCACAGTTGCCAATAGTGACTGAAACTCAGTATCTGCACAGCTACGCCGAGGTTGAGAATTTTCAAATTGACACTTTGTAAATATGTATTTGTTCTGAGATTTGAGAAAGCAAAGGATTTATCAATAAATTTAGGCTTTAAAAATGCAGTCTGGGTTCATCATTTGGATTTGAAAGACCAAAATTTCTTCCAGTGTGAACCAGTAATGTTGGAAACTGTTTTGTTTTTTCCTAAATGTGGTTATAACAATGACAGATCACAAATTGATGTGCTTTGGTATGCAGTTTAGACTAGTAAAGTCCAAGAACCATTTTCAAAGCGAACATAGAATTTTATGGATGAATGACATAGGTATATCTTATATATTATATATTTAACAGCTACTCCATTACTTTTTAAATGTTTGTTTCTACGTATCTTTGATTTAAGGTTAGAGGATATTTCAGAGTTTAATTTTAAATTTTACATGCACATTTTAGTGTGGATACAGGGGGAAAATCTAGTGTATACAGTACTATTTGGTAACTCTATGGCATGAAAAAGCTTTTTTGTCATCATAACAGTTTAAAATCTTCTTAGGTCTTTACTTCAATTTCTCAAAAAGTTTGATTAATGTACGTTTCCCTGTCTAACAGTGAAAAAGAATTCTGCCTTGTTATTGATTGTTTCCAGGTTAAAAAAAAGAGATTAAATATGTAGAAGATTTAAAAATATATATATTGCAGAAACAATTGCATGATTCTGATTTTCAGATAAAACCTATAGTTGTTTTCTAATTCTATTTTTCAGTTTCCATAGCTAGACGCGTCCAAGACCCATTAGCTGAGCTAGTGAAAATTGAGCCCAAACACATAGGAGTTGGAATGTATCAGGTAAGATAATACGTATCATTTAATCTAAGTAATCTATCATGATATAGAGCAACACCAAAATGCTGCTTTATAATTGTCAACTAGTTACGTCTCCTTTAAAAGGCATTTGTCGAGTTGATAGAATGGTAGTAAATACTTAGAAGTCATAGACTTCTTTTTTAATCTCTGCTTTTAACGATTGCGATTGAGGCTCTGAAATGGCTGTAGCCAGATTTATAGTCTATTAAAGACATCAAATCAGACAGGTAACCTGATCTGTAAAGCTTTCTCTTCTTTTGTATTGTTACAGCAATAGGGTTTTAGCTCTTTGTGTAAAATACAATGAGATATTGATCCTCCATTTAGAAGCTATTAATTTGTACTATTACATGTATTCCTTCTTAGAAGTTTGTAAGAAAAGGATTTGTTTTAAAGTTTTTCATTTACTAAAGCTGAATTGGAAAATGTTTGACAATTCTTATTTTTATACATTTTTATAGACTATTTCTGAGAAGTAACTTTTACCTTCAAAGTCTTTACAAAGTGAATGGTCAATAAGTGGTACATAAGTGGTACATAAATTATTTTATAGTATATTGGCATCCATTCAGGAAAGCATTTATGCAGGTACTTATGTCCCACCAAATAGAGAAGATAAAAAAATAGAAAATTCAGCATGTGCTTTTCTCTGTTTTAGAAACTATAGAATGTGAGTAAATTTGAAAGACTGGAGCAGAAGTCAGAACACAAAGCACAGAACTGTCTGGATCTGTGCTTTCAGGTTAGCACAAGAGTTAATGAGACAGGGGTTCTAAGCTAATTGCATTCTTACTGCCACTGCCAAAGGTGGTGTGATAAAGGTGCTATGAAAAATTGCAAAGTGTATATCCTGTTTTTTAAAGAACTGAGTTTAATATTTTAGTTGGTTAAGGTCTCAGTACTGCTTTTGCAAGCCATACTTATATTGCCACAGACTGTAAGATATACTCATGTTGCTTGTGAATTGCAAAACTTAACAGAAAAACTAACTTATATAATTTTTCATTATGAACTGTATCATAGTTTTTGAAAAGGGCTGAAATACTGTCGATTTCTTTAACATACGTATCCAGATTTCAGTAAAAACATGCTTTAGTGATGACAGCTATAAATCAGGGGGTGGTCATCTGACAAAAAGAGGAGTTTCAATCTGAAGCATAGTTGGCTTCCTTACTTGTGGAGACCCACTGCTTTTATTTATAACATTAGCAGTAAATAATAATGAAAAGTGGTACAGATTTTTGTTGTCCTTGGTATAAGGAAAAGAAGTATTTAACAAAAAAACCCCAAAGGAATGAAAGGCAACACTTTGAGAAGAAGTTGGTTGATTTTTTTGAAATGAAATTTTAAAAGATCAGTTCCACAATGGAATATTTTACTATTTGAAGTATACTGTGAATTTGTAAGTATTAGGAACTTGCATCATTGTGGCTAGAAGGTATTCATTTAGAAGCACACTATCTACACTACCTACTGTGGCCCATGTGTGCACTGTACAACCATAGATGTAAAGCAAAAAGCCATGGAGTCGGTATTGGTTGTATGGTTTTGGGAGCATGATATTATCAGAGGAATGTTGCAGTGACATATTTCAGTGGTTGACTGCTGCCTCAGTGACTGAAACTGGTGTCATTTAACTTTGCACTGAAACAGCAGGGAAGCTTCTTGATCCATGAGATCCACTTTTACAAGTAAACACCCAACTGCTTTATTTGTTCATGTCCAAATTGGTTACATGAAAAGTTTCGGAGAAATAATTTCTAAAAGCCTGGTAAAGGTAGTCTTCGCAAGTTGTTCTTTACCAGCTATTTGCACTTTGAAGTCCCATCATCATGTGGATAAATCCTCTGACATAGAGCTCCTGTCAGAATTTTTTATGATCACCACAGAAGCTATAAGGTGCTTATTCAAAGATACAGAAATTTCTGAGGTACTAGAGCTTTATGTGACACCATTGAAAGCAAATTTGCACTCTTGAAAGCCAAGTCAGAAGCTTTGCTGCCCTTTGGGTGTCAGAGCTCTCTTGTGGCAGGGAAGGGGAAAAGAGGAGGAGAAGAACTAAGCTGTTACGAGTGTCCTTCAGAGAGAACAGTCACTTGCTGGCATCTTGGAGGGCAGGCATGAGAAAAGCTGATGTGTCATACAAGGAGTCCCAGAGTAATAGCTTATATAATACTTCAGATTCAGTATATCAGGTGCAGAATTTTGTATTATTCAATTCAATTTGAAAAGTTTTGTTATACTTTAATTTATAACCAAATTGCTAACTGTAGCTTTTTATTAATTTCTGGATAAAATATGTAATGTGCAGTCAGTATCAAAAACATAATAAGCTTTTCACAGAGAAAGCTAATTCCTTAGCACAGTGTAACTATAGACCTAGCACTTAGGTATGACCTTTCCTTTCTTAAACACCTTGAAATTAATACTTAGGAATGTGACAAATGCAGATTTTGGCGTTCTTGTCCTGAAGGACAGACAGTGATTAGTCCTGCACTCAAGGCTGAGGTGGAGAGCTGCTGCTGATGGCTGTGGAAGCTGTATAGCACAAGCTATATGGTGGTTTCGTGAGGGATGGTTGTGCACTCCCTGTGTATTGATCAAAGGGCAAGCTCCATGAAGGAGTGGTCCTGCCTTTTCTGCTCCTCCTGCCCAAATGCCCCAATCCTTTTTCGGTGGTGGTGATGGCTACATGATGTCCTGGGTTGGCATAAGAGAAGAGCAGCAATGCATGGCTTGGAGGAGTCGTCCAGCTGGGGCTACTGCTTTTGCAGCAGCCTGAGTTTTGATTGACTTGGGACACGGCCTCTCTAATCAGTGTTAGATAGCCAGAGGTCCCAAACTACTCTGCTTGAAAGGCGATGGCAGAAACATTAATTTCTCTATCTTTTCTCAGAGTTTTTCCTCAGAGGTTGAAGGGAGAGACTGGTGAAGCAGAACCTGTCTGATAAAGGCTGTAGCTTTTGTAGTGGGACTGTGGCACAGGAACATTCTGTGTTCATCAGAATCCCCTCCCTCCTTCAGCAGAAGCTGCTGCTCCTATCAGTAGTGACAGTATTGTTATAGAAAAGTGAAGTGGTCATGTGTTAAATCTGCTGCTCACAATATGAGCTTTCTCAAAGCTTGTGCAGCGTGTGGCCGCCCCACCAAGCACACTGTGCAAAGGGACTGCATCTGCTGCAGTCACTGCTTCCATGGGATTTTTGGATCCTTCCCATCTGGCCACTTAGTGCTTCACATGCATGTTTGTGAGAATATTGGTGCTTTCTAGTTCTTCTAGTGCAAGTTTTCCAAGCAAATCTCATTTGGGTATGGAATTCTGAGTTTCCAGATATGGGACTCAACCTTCAGAGATTTCTTGCTCAGTTGAGGTTGTGTGTTTACTTATTTTAGATGACAAAAAAATTTGAAACTTGGACTTGACCACCTGCTTCTATTCACATTTCAAGTTATGATTCTGAGTTTATGCACTACCAAGAAAATCAGGTTTGTCAGAGAAAAATAAACAGGCCTCAAATCTAACAGATACTTCCTTAAACAAAGAGAAGCACAACCTGATTTATTAGGGCCTCTCTCAGACCAAAATTCCAGTTGCCTAGAGGTCCTTGTCGTCTTTCATCTTTATCTCATTAGGAAAATTGTTCTTTCCTCCCAGACAGGAACCGAGGCAAAATTAATTTATCACCTTCAGGCCATATTACTATGATTTCCTCTGTAGTTGAACATGAAGATGATGCCCAGACTCTTCCTGATACAGTTTGTTTGCCTTGCCACCTCCCCATGCCAGTTCAAAGCTAAATTCCTATCGGGGAAGAAGTAGTTAGCGACTCAGGACTTCATTATGCTGCAAACTGAATTCTGGTTGATGAATTACCACTATAGTTGTAATGATCTAGGAAGATGTAGATAAGAGCTGAGAACAAAACTGCTTCACAAAGATTGCTGTTAGGGAATTGAATTCCAGAACCAAGAAACTGAATAAAAAGTAGAAAAGGTCCCTAAAGAAGAGAAACCAAACTTTTCATAAGAGAATATAGCAGCACTAGCATAAACTTTCTGTCCACCAGTCCCCATCAAAGACAAATAGCCTGAAGTAAAGGGAGAATTAGATTAATAAACTTTTAAAAAGTCAAAACCTGAATTTTTATTGTAAGGCAGAGAAAGGAGAAATAATGCGAAGGGACTATGTTAAGTTTGGTCAGTTCTTTGCTGTTCATTTAATGTGCAAAATCCCGGGATGCTAACAAAACGGTAACCTTTAGAGAAAGAGCTGGGTGGAGCTCAAACTCACCTGTAGCTTAAGAACAAAATACATGGTGTGAGTTGAAGGATCAGAATTTTTGACAAGTCATGTATAATATTGAAGACTGTGCACCACATTGAAAAAACAACATCCTATTTATTCTTTATAATTTTTGGAGCACAAAAATCTCTTCATGATACCTGTTGGTACATAGTAGCATCTTCACATTGGGAAAATTAACATCCCAAAAGGATGTAAGAGGTAATATATGTAGTTTTGTAACCTCTGAAGTGAGAGGAAACATGATTCCAGATGTAGCTGGAACATTTTGTGTCAAATAAAATTTGAAAAGCAGCAACTCCTTCAAGGAACAAAAATGATTGAGCTTAATCTTGGTTTATTTTCTATATAATGTTGGAAGGTCATGATCAAAGGAGAGTTTCATAAAGCCTAATCAGAAGGCCTAATAATAATTAAAATTGGAAATGCCTTTTCTGTCCCTCTTGTCCTTTTTCCTCCCCATGTTACTCTTATTATTGAAGTGGTTCAGTTTTGCATGTAATTATTACCTGTAGGACATTTTATTATTTCAGTTGCAATTTGATATGCCTTTTAGACTTGGGGTTTTTCCCCCAAAAGATGGGTATGTTTTATTAAATGACAATGCAACTTCAGGCAATGCATTGGATCAGATACACTTCTTCCTTAATAGGACCGGTGCTATCATAATTATGCTATT